GGGGGGGGAGGAAGAAAGGAAAAAAAAAAGAGAGAGAGAGAACTGACTTACCACTTGTATCATGATTAGTCACTAATTGATAAAACATCTAAAATCCATTATCAGATAAATAACTTCAGTAAAGAAACACTTTAAACCATGTACATTTTTCAAATTGTGCTAATTTTTCTTAAGGGTGTTAAGATACGTTTCCAAATTCCTTTGTCCTGTCAATGTTTTCACCTGTCAATATAGAAATACGTTTTTTCAAAACTGCATCAAATACAGAGAACCCAGCAAATGGAAGGAAAAAAGATTCTTTGAATAAAAGCCCAATTGTTCCATCATTGAATTAACAGTGAAATCTTGTCCAGTTTTTCAGAACAATTGACAAGATAAACTCAATAAGCAAATACATTCTTGCAAAGCAAACTAATTATAGACCTGAACCTTTAAGCAGAAGATTTGGGATCATATCTAGTTTGAGAAACAGGTCTACCTGTTAGATACTGAAGTTACCATCTTCCCTTTGTTACTGGCAAATAAATCTCCTACTAAGTAACTGGCCTGTTTGTCCTGACTTTTCCTAGAACAGCAGTTTTCAACCTGCCACCTGCAGGCTACATCAAATTGGTCTGTGCAAGATAGCAAGACACCTATGTAGTAACAGACTTGGTATTATCTATACCGTAAGTGGAAAACCAATTTAGAAAAAGATTAAAAAAAACACCCACAGATTTAGAAAGTGGCTGGAATTGCGATGGCAAACAGAGAAAGGCGATTTGACTTTCAAAGCGCAAAGAAACTTGGCCAGACAGTCCCCTCAGTAGTTCGGCAAGTGAGAACCGACCATATCGTTACCAGTTACAAGTGGGGTATATAAAGCATGAAACTGGAAAGCATGAAACTGTAGGGGCTCACCATGTGTGTGCAACCCCATCTTTGGAATAACCCTGCGGGCAGCATGCTCACTCCAGAGTGGGAGAGACGCCGTGGACTTTAGGCTCTGCTCAGTCTGATAGGTCTGAACCTGCATCTTCCAACTCGCATCCAAGCCACCTCTCAGCCAGATCACAAATTTGGCGAGTCACCCTTTGGCCAAATCAAATAACACCACCTGCTTGGATCTGAGCATCTCAGGCATGCAGAGATCACAGAACCATTCAGAGAAGAAACAAGAGAACTCGCCTCAAGCTGAGTCCTCTGATCAGCAGGCTGAAGCTCATGTTATATACTAATAAATAACCAGAGATGGAAAAAAAAAAAACGAACTAGGGAACAAAGTCAGTTTTCCTCCTCCATCCTAAATGCTTCCAAGTCAGGGTCCATCTTGCCTGCCTTCGGTGGAGTCAGATCCTTGCCTTTGGCTAATTCTGGTTCAGCTTCAAGAAGGAGCAGGAGAATACTCTCAGCCAGAATTGCTCTCAGCCTGCTGGGGAAGGCATTTGCTATCATCCACTCACTAACTGTAAGGGTTATGCAAGCTGGACACTAAAGGACAGAGGAAATTCAAAATTTCTTGCTGGTTTCACTTTGCACTTGGTGAAAGAAGTAGGCTCCTAACTTAAAGAAAGTACATCAGGCCTGGAATTAGGACAGGTAGAGTGTGCTATACTATATAGTAACTTATTATACTAATAATACTCCTTTTCCTGCCACCAAACAGGCAAATAGGTCCTCCCTGCCCCTGGCAATTGTGGCAGGTGTGCTCTGGGAAGACGGCAAGACGGAGCTAACAGTGAAGGGGTGGTTGTGCCTCTGCTGCAGCATGAAGCACTGGCTAGGCGCTGTGCACCACTGAACACACACAGCAACATGCTGCTGGATGAGCAAGCCCATGATAGCAGTCTCTGTTGTTTGCAGACTTCCCACAAACAGCTCTTCTGATCATAGCTCTCAAAGGAAGAGGGAGCAAACATCCCCACCTTGATTTTGTGGCTGAATAATAACAATACTGACCAGTTCACTTCCTTGCAGGTGCCAATGGTTTTCTGGACTTCTCAGAATGTGCCTGACCGGCTGTGCCAAGGGAAGTCCTTAGTGCAGGTCACAGCAGCACCTTTTTTTTTTATATATATACAAAAATGGCTGTAGAAGCCGAGACAAGGTGCCCTAGCAGTTCTTTCATGGCCACATGCCTGGCGTGCTCTAATCACAGATTTACAGTTTAACAGCAAGGTGACTATGCCAGTGGTTGCAGCAAGACAGGTGCAGTGTCACCTGAGAGGCACCACCGTAATTTCCAAAGGCAGCCAGGACTGGTCTTCAGTAGAAGGCTCTAAGGTGTTACAAAGGGTCTCATACCAGCACCTCGTCCCATCGTCTATAATGTCTGCTTCCTTCCCAGAGCTGGAGGCTGCTGCCCTGGTTAGAGTCTACTGACTGTTACTCACAGAGCTGCTCCAAGCTCCCATGAAAGCCCAGTTCTTGGTCACGTGAAAAAGTGACCAAGAACTGTATACAGTCAAACCAAAAGTTTTCAGTTAGACACCGCTATATGGCCACTAGTGATAGTCAGCATTGTGTAACGACTTATTTTTGCTAGTCAGTCCAGGAGGGAGCACATATGTTGCAACAGTAAGAATATTCTAATAACAGGTCCAATTTTGTTCTAATAATACAAGTCATTTGTCTCAAGGTGACCAAAATTAATTTTTTAAATAATTTTCAGAACAACAGGAATGTAAAGATGACATTTGGTTTCGATTTGATGGAAGCCTCTTATTCAATCCCAAATCAAATGTTTTATTTTCAAATGGGGGTTTCAATTGTTACAAATAAGACAAATTTCAAAACAAGTCCCTTGAACAGCTTGGATGTGAATACTCTGTTCTTCTGAGGAGCAGTGTTTTACAAAGATGATGTGTAGTCTTTCTTCATTATCAACCAGCACAGGTGGTGCAGCTGACTGAGCTCAGAAAGCTGTTTATCTTGTTCTGGTAGGATCTCTTCTCTCTGGCAGCTGAATACCTAGCTATTTTCCTCAGTGCATTTCCATTTCTCTTGCACGCTCCAGACATATCCTACAGCCTTCTCTACACTGCCCCCATCACACGCTCTCCCTAAAGGCATTCATTATTTATCCAAAACCAGGCATGTCCCAGGCAGACTACTGGCAGACAGAAAGTCTGGGTCATTTATGTACAACCACCTCTTATTGGGGAAGTAAAGTTCGCCTCTTCTGGACAGGTTGGTCCACTCAAAGTCAGCCACTTAGAAACACAGCCAGAAGCCTACACAAAATGCTGGCAAACAGAATGACTTACACAAAACATCAGCTGGCTAGCAGCAAACTAACCTCTCCTCACAACTAATTCCCATGTATTAACGACAGTGATACAGAGTTAGAACTAAAAGCAAGGGGCGATTGATTTTTTATCCATGAACACACAAACCCCATCCTTTTTGGACACTCTTACCTTGTTTGTGGGACATCCTGCATAGTGATCAAGCTATACTTTCATATCGTGCAAATCACGAAACAGAGCCATAATGCACAGAAATGTCACTAAAGTGAGATCAGTCTTCTTTGCCTTCAACATCTCTCTACAAGCCTCCTGAGGAATGCCAGTCTGTCTGGGACTGCAAACACCCTGGAGCATTAACTGCACCTATAGTATCATCCATGCAAGAGAAGTCATTTATCACAATCTGTCTCCCTATTGTACAAATTTATTCCCAGTCCACAGCCAGTACGTACAGCCTGGCTGAGCTGGACCTGTGCCAGGACTTTTCTGATACACAGTCAACAGAACTCAGGCAGAAAGTGGAACTGAATAGAAAGGCAAATATTTGATTCTTATCCTTCTAATTTGTCTGACGTGTTCCTGCCTACAGGAACGCAAGGGGGGAGAGAAGTTGCATACTCTCCAGCTGACAGGCCATTTAAGAAGAGTTTTAATTTTTTCTGGAGTTATCTCCATTACCTAAGATGTGACTCTAGAAGAGGGGTTCTTTTAATTGCTTTCCTAGCTAAACTGTACCTAAAATGTTATCTAAAAAGCAAATGGGAAGGCGCAGAACCACAGGAGATTTTTATGAAAAGAATACAGAAATAAAGTCTTCAAGAAAATCAACTCTAAACAAGCCTTACATATCAGTGCGAAACTGTTGCGTCAACAAATCCTGCAGTTTTCATTGCTGTTTGGACAAGAGAAATAAAGGGGAGACTGAAAGCAGGAGGGGAAGCTTGGGGGGAGGCTTAACAGCTACAAAGTAAATCAATATGCCAGTGGTAAAACAGACAAGACAGGATATCCAGGCTTATATCCTCCTTTGCATTTATACATGAAGCATTACACTTCTATTTGCCTCAATATAACCATTGATCAGTTTGCAGGGAAAATATATTGTGTGTCAACAAAAGGTCTCCCCAGAAAACAGCATCCCTTGTAACTCAGGCTTCCCCTGCACCCATAAAAAAAGAAGGAGCAGTGAGCCATCACAGAGGTATTAACACAATTGCTCCGCTACCAAGCCATGTGTTTACTATCCTGGAGCAGGAGATAAGATGTCCTGATCAGGCATATTCTTAAGGCTTGATATAAAACCCAGATCTTCAACTCTGTGGGGAAGTGATCAAGAGTAAAAAAAGGCACTGTTCATTTTGCAGCGATCAACAGGAAAAGCAGAAACTTAACTGCAATCTGCATGCATGTATACAAAGCAGAGTGCTGCAACTTCTCTCCAGTGTCAATAAAGATACGAAGCACTATTAAATAACCCAAATAGTGACACAGGCAATTATTTCTCTTCCTACTCAATTCTGAACATGTGTTATCAGGACTGTGAGGTTAGATTTTCCAAACAAAAGGTCACCTAGTAATCACAGAAAACTCTTTAACTGAAATTGTGTGCAGATATTTTTAGAGAGAGCTTTGAAAGCCCAGCCAATTATCCATAAATTATGAGCACAACTGTGTGCAGTGAACTAATATAAATGTGGCACTCTAGCAAACAGTTCCAAAACAGGCACGA